GTGGGGGGGGGGGGACCCCCGCACCACCGACCACCTGCCAGATCCGTCTTCCCAACCAAAACCAGCCCCCCCCCAGCTACCGCCAAAGCCAAAGCACGTCCTCCACAGCTACTGCCACGCTGGCCTAGGGGAGAAACCGCCTCCGAGGAGGGGGATGAGGAAGGAGGAGATGATGTGGGGCAGAAACCCAGCAGCCGTCTTCCCAACCAAAACCAGCCCCCCCCCAGCTACCGCCAAAGCCAAAGCACGTCCTCCACAGCTACTGCCACGCTGGCCTAGGGGAGAAACCGCCTCCGAGGAGGGGGATGAGGAAGGAGGAGATGATGTGGGGCAGAAACCCAGCGGCCGTTCGGCTCTTCGGAGCCCTTTGAAATGCTCAGCGGGGATTTCCACGCCTCGGAGCCCAAAGGCTCCCCGGGAGCGGCGCGGGCAGCTCGGCTCCAGGAGAGGAGACCGCACCGACCCCGGCTTTTAAATTACCTGGGCAGCCCGATGTATCCACGCGCGGTCGCTTCATCGGCGCGGAGGTGCTGGAAAAAGCGCTGGTGGAAAAACGCGTTCTACGTACCCCTCCGCTCCGGAGAGGCTGGGAAGAGTCACCTCTCAAAAACCAAACCCGTCCCTCCCGCTGGAAAAGCGGCAGCCACCCCGGCGTTGTGACCTTCAGCTCCTCCTGAGGTTCAAGACCGACTCGGCATCGTCTCTGCCGGGCACCAACACGGGATGAACCTCACCCACGTGCCCCAAAGTGACATTTATGGCTCGGGACATCCATCCATCCATCGCACCGGGATGGGACCGGAGAATCCCCCCGTTGCCTGAGGGCGGCGGGGAGCGGGGGGGGGGGGGGGGGGATGTGTTAGCTAAGGGTCACGCTGGGGTTTTTGGCTGCCTTCCTCATCGCGGGCTCAGCCTGCCCCGGGGTTGGGAGGATTCCTGCTTCGCACCGCCCGTCTCCCTCCCTCGCAAGGCGGGGGGGACGCCGTCAGCAAGAGAAACGGAGACCTGAAACCTGCTCCGGGACCTGCTTTCGCAGCAGCGGTGCAGGTATCGAACGCTGTTGGGGTAAAACACACCCGAAGGGGACGCGGGAAAGGGGCCAACCCCGCCGATTATAAAAAAACCTAAAATGTTCAGGTACGGTCAAACCCTCGTTCCCCCCATTATTGCTGCCCAGGTTTGAAGCTTTACAACCGCGTTTTCGTGGGTTTGCAGATTTTTCAAGGCACTAAGCGCTCGCAGGCAGAGGGGAGCCGAGACGGGGAGATGCTGGAGCGGGGCAGCATCAGGAGCGCGGAGGCACGGAGGGACGGGGAGAAAAGCCGCCCTTCGCATCCCCCCCGTCATCACCGGCAAGGTCCGAGCTACCTGGCGATGCCTGACGGTGCGACGAGGTTTCAAGGGTCGGAGGGGTCAGGGCAGGGAAAGCCCTTTTGTGGGACGCAGGCAAGTCGCAGGCAGGCTGGGCGATCTCGGCTCTCCGACCACACAAAATTGGGTCACTTTTAGGCCCTAAGGGTAAAAACAAGGGGTGGGGGAAACCGCTGCATTCGATGCCAACGCTGCCGTGTGTCTCCGTCCCGGATCTGCCGCCTCTCCACTGTCACCCTTCGCTCCCTCCTCCCAACCCTGCCAGCAAAGCCACCGGCTGCTCCTCGCCTCTGCCTCGTCCCCCAGACCCTGACGCCACAAAGTAAACAAGGAACCAGCGGTGGGATCAGCCCAGAGCTCAATTCCTCCTTTCCTCTTCTTTCAACGAACGCTTTTCCTCGACAGACAGGGTTTGTTGTTTTTTTCCCGCAGAGCCGAACGCTCGGTGAGCCTAGGAGGAGCTGGTGAGCTGCTGCTGGCGCCGCCGGACACGCGACCGCTCGCTCCCCGCACGCTGTCCCAGCTCCTGTCTCCGAGCGCAACGCACCGAGGGACAGGGACCCCAACGGCTGCCGGGCGACGAAGCAAATATGTTTACAACACATTTTTGTCATTCCTGCTATTCCCGGACAGAGAAAGGAAGAGAGACGCTTGTTTCAAAGCCCCCTGAAGCAAACCGGGCAGATTTGAAGACCAGAGCAAATCCCTTTGCCGCAAAGACGGGTCATTTTAACACCTTTTTGGACCACGCGAAGGAGCGCGGGGTTTTCTGCCGTTCCCTGGCGCAGCTCTACAACCTGCACCCAGCAGCAGCTCCAAGAGAGGAAGCAGAGCCAGGCTGGATCTTGTACCTCCTGCAAACCCTCCGCCTTAGATCCTGGCCCCCCAAAAAGGTCCTGATCCCCCACTGTGCCTCACCTGGCTGAAACCCTTTATTTGTCCAGGTCGCGCGGCTTTAAGACATGCCGCCCCCCGCGTCCGCTTCTCACAGCTCGCTCCCGCTGCAGAAACACACACCGTGTCGGGACAGCAAGGGCCGAACCATCCGTCTACACACAGACTCTGCAGAAACAGCTTTACAGAAACAAAAGGCGGGTCCCGGGGAGGGGAGGGGGGGGCTACGCAGGATCTGAACCAGAAGTGCAAACTGCCGAGGCCAGAAGCCACCCTGATCACGCCCAAGACGACTCTCGAGATGAACGAGAGAAACCAGGGGAACGTTGAGAGCAGCACCCCGTCAAGACGAACCAAACCCAAGAAATGCCGCGGTCGACGCTGCCGAGAAGTCGAGGAAAACCTGAAAAAGAGGGGAGGGGGAGAAGGCAGATCCCATCAATAGAAAAACCAAACGGCTGAACTTCCCCGTCCGTAATGGGATCCGGTTCCTTGCTCAGACTTTGCTTTGGGTTTTGCTGTCCCTGGAAACCTTCCAAGTCTGGATAAGCCAAACGAAATCACTTTGACAAACAAACTTGGCTCAAAAGTGGCGAGTGCAACCTGAGGTGGGCGAGAGCTCAGGTGAGGAGGGACCTCCCGAGAAGGAGAGGAAGACCAAGGGCTGATGCAGCTCCGCGGACTTTGACGAGGTTCCTTCCGAGAGCCCGAACGCACACCGCACCCCTTCCCATTTCCAAACTATCGCCTCCAGTCGCTTGCCCAGGGCCAGCGGCAAGCCTCGGGAAGCACGCGCAGACACACACGCACGCTACGCCCGCCCGGCAAGAACGCGGACCCGATTCCAAGCGTCTTTCAACATGGAGGCTGGGTTTTTAACCTGCCCTGTGAAACTGGAAGCTCTGTGAATCCTTCGTTTGCTCTGGCTGGGAAGCAACGGATGCTCCATCACCGAGAGCGGAAGATAATCACGAAGAAGAGGTAAAAGGCCGGGCAAATAGAAACACTACTTCGTGCTCCCTCCCCTTGGAACAGGCAACTCATTCATGATTTAAGGCCACCATTATTAAGGTCATCGAGGTTACGTGTAAAGGAGATGATCCTTGGAAATGGAGGGATTTGTTTGCTAAGGTGTACGGTGGAGTTGGGAGCAGATGACGAATTCTGGGACTCACATTATTATCACCCGCTGGGCCGGCTCATCCTTTCAGGTACCTCCCAGGGCGCCTTTGCGCCGGTCCCAGCCGACGCAGATCAGCACCAATTTACTGTAAGGAAGACTGAGAGCAGCCCCTCCGCTGCTAGAACAGACGGTACCTTTTCTCCAGCGACCACAGCGTCCCGTGACGAGAGCAGCACGTGAACGTCTGCAACTCCCGGTGCGGCACAAGTGACCAGGAACACGCGTGCGCACGCGCACGCACGCAGGCGCGTGCGTGTCCCCGGCCCCGCGTCCCCCTCTCCCAACCGCTGGGCACAAACCGATTTACAGCGATTACACCCCCATCGTGTCCAAAAATCCGTCGCTGGCACCTTGGGAGTTAGCGTGTGACGAGACTAACCTCGATCCCTTTAACCTCAGAGCTCAAGGAGGCTTCTTGTGCGAAGGTGCAATGTTTCAGGTAGCTAGAGCAGAGGGGGGAGCAGATGCCTGGAAGCAGCATGCTGTTAAAAATAAAATACATTGACGGCACGACTAAATGTCGCAGCCTCCCAAGAGCTACGTTTTCCTTTGCTGAGAGCGGAGGAGGCGGCGGCGGGGGGGACGGGGACTCGGAAGAGTGAAAGCGCCAAGGGGATCCACCAAGCACGGAGGTTTAGTGTTAATGTAACTGATACCTGAAAGTGAACCTTTCAAGGTGCTTTTCGAAGTGAAGCTCTGTGTGTTTGGAGGACTCCGCCAGTTGACGGATGGTCAACTGAAGGGTCGAGAAACGCGCTCAATCCGCGGCCGTCCTGCGGGGACGGGCGACGGCAGGGCAGCGGTTGGGGGCCAGGATCTGTACAGGCTACGCAGTGTAAGAAGCGCCATAGCTGCCCTTAACTCACTTGGAAAAAAAAAAAAAAAGAAATAAAAATCCTTATCGGCCCCCACTCGTCAGGGACTTGGTTACGGTCAGTCTCTCCGGCTGCGAGTTCGCGGTTAGCTCCGTGTCACACGCACAGGCTGTGACATCATCTGCCAGCAGACTGCGACTGTGGAGCCATGATGACGTGTGACGGTATCGGCATGCTCAGTTCTGTCCTTTGGCTCGCCATCTGGGTGAGCACCGAAGTGGCACTGCTGCCGAGCGGACGCTGAGCCCGTTGGGGGAGGCCGTCACGGAGCTGTGCTGGATGACGGGAGCAGGGGAGCCGGTGGGCTCAGAGCTCTCCTTTGGGCTTTCTGCTTGACCAGAGAAGGAGAAGGGGATGGAAAAAAAGAAGAAAAGAAGGTTAGAGAGAGGCCGCGCCATGTTGCTACCGGTGTTAGCAGCGGGGCGACGGGACGGGAGACTGCTTCTGCCTCGGAGGGTGTGCAGAAATTAGTCAGGTATTTACTTAACACTCACCTTTCCAGCCAAAGCAGCCTGGAGCGGAGAGGCTGATCCCTACGGGAATCAAAAAATCTCCTCAAGCAGCTGTTTGGCAAAACCAAGTGGGGACTGGAAATAAAAGTGATTAGAGTTGGGACATAATGACCCACCGGGTCCGGCTTGGCTCCGTCCCTTGGAGAAACACCACCGAATCTTAGACAATTCACGCCAGGAAGGCATAAAGCGCAGGCTTCACACCAAGGATGGCAGACCCGGCATAACCTTTACCGTAATAAATCTGTTTCCTCATTATAACAAATGAACTTTCCCTGGAAATAAAAGTGATTAGAGTTGGGACATAATGACCCACCGGGTCCGGCTTGGCTCCGTCCCTTGGAGAAACACCACCGAATCTTAGACAATTCACGCCAGGAAGGCATAAAGCGCAGGCTTCACACCAAGGATGGCAGACCCGGCATAACCTTTACCGTAATAAATCTGTTTCCTCATTATAACAAATGAACTTTCCTGCCTGTTGTTTCCTGGCGTGGTACTTGGTTCAAGGCCATTTAGCCCAGAGACTGAACGGTTCCTTCAGAGCCCTTACCATCTGTTGGGTGAGCACACAGGAAAGCGTGCGACAGAAACCCTTCTGCAAAGGCAGGGGTTTTTTTGCCATTTTTTTATATAAATTACCTGGTTTGCTCTTTACCGTTCTCTAGAACATTAAAATCAATTAGAGCCCATTACGGACTGTTTGCTTGCTCGATTTCTTTTGGTAACTTGAAGCAATATGATTGAAGGGATGGGGAGGAAAACAAAGGCAGAGACCTTCTTCCGTGCTCTTTTCCGAGCGCCGCAGATTGGTTTCCAAAACTTTGGATTCTCTCCCGCAAACAGCCCACTGCGCCCAGGCAGAGCTTCTAACGCAGAGGATAATTTGTGACCTATCAAATGCCAAGGCGAGAGCAATCAGACCTCTCTCTTTGGGGGTATACACTCATTATCTACAGATGTCAGGAGGAAATTCCCTCCTGTGCACTTGGCTAGATGAATTACGGGTAAGATGCGGTCACCTTCCTTTAAAAGAGCAAAATAATGGCATGAGCTGGGATACTTCTTCCACGTCAAGAGGGTAAACCCCCTGACACCCGGGGGAAAAAAAACCAACAACCCCAAACAATCAGAGAAGAGGTTTACAACCTCACTGGGCACCGGCAAACGTATTTTAGGGCTCAGTTTTCTACCAGGTGCTGGAATATTGTACCCCTTTCCCCAACGGGTTTTACCTTCCCCTGTGAAACCTTGGCTTGGCCTTCGCCAGCATATTGCAAGACGCGGCTAGCACAGCAGATTTGAAAACTGACTTGGCGGTGAGAGAGAAGGTCGAGCAGAGCAATATAATAGTTTGGCATCCCAAAAAGGAGATTTACAAGGTATTACAAATAAAACAACCCAACTGTACATGAGGCAGCTGTAATTCCATCGAGGGAATCTGGCATTTTTGTTTAAGGACCTGCTTAGTCACAAATATAAATAATAAAAAAAGGCAGC